CGGTCGGCCTGCATTCACGACTTCCCCCCGTTCTCAGACCCTTGAGCGTCTGGTCGGTGGTCGCTGCCACGTTGCAGCGCCTACATCTCCATCCGACACGAGCCTCTACATAACAAAGCTCATGCTGCGAAATCGATAACTTCGGCGCCGTACTTGGGGCCTGCCTGGGGGGAGGTTGCGGTGCTTCGACCTGGCCCCCCGCAATACTAATTATCTGGATGGCACGTGCTAAAACACCCCAGGTTAGCTGATGCTTTTTTACCTGAGCCCTCTCGGCCTTGACATAAACACCTGGAACTTGGTGCATGCCCGAACCTAGCCTGGCGAAAAAATCTGCCCATACATTTCCAAGGTAGTCTTGGATGTCTGAGCTCGTGCGCAAAAGTCTGTTCTCTGGCCCTCGGTGCGCCGGTACCCATCGGAAACTTGGCCTCTGAAGGCCCTCGCCTTGAAGCTCGAATACCTTGCGCCATATATCTGCATGCACATTTCGGGCAGCCGCCAGATCAGGATCCCACGAGCACCCTTCGCGAACGAGCTGGAGGTGATCAGTGACCACTTCGGCCCCTTGGGGTGCAACTTCTATCGCACGCAGCGCCGCATACCTCTCAGCGCGGGGCACCGTCTGGCGCCCAGGCAAAGGCCCGTAGAAAGCCCTGTGGGGCACGCCCCACTGGTCAACCTCGACGGCAGCCCATCCACACCGTCTAAGTTCTGGGCTTGAGTTCGCAAGCCCTGAACCGTCGGTATAGATGCGCCTGCCCCAGGGCCCCGTCGTTGCACCCCAATGAACCGCGGGGGCCTCGGGGATCTCTGGAACACTGAGGGAATAAAAAAGGGAGCCCGTACGCAAGCTCCAGAGTGTCCCAGCCGGCCTGTAATGCAGAGTACCCCGAGCCCCTCAAAGCTTCTCTGTGCTCTATAATGTCATCGGGAAGGGGCTCTACATCAAGATCCTCTGGGGGGGCTGAGTTAAAACTGGGCACTGGTAAAGCTGGTGTCCTAATGTGGCGTTGGGGTCCGAGCAGAAATCACAGGCGGGCGTCACTCGATATCCTGCTGCGCATTTCCTCGAGGGCGGCCAGCATCCTGAACCCAATAGTAGTCGAGCGCAGCCTCTCCTGACGTTGTCCTTGATGCGAAATATTGCAAGTCGAAGGCCACGCCGCCACACTTCTTCAGAACCAAATGCTTCAGGAATGTGCGCCAAAACCCGTTTCATCTGCCATCGGCCCATGGACTCTTGCAGCAATCGCTTGACATCCATGGGCGGCGTGTGCAGTAGAGAAATCATGGTTCCTTTGTCATCGACGGCTTGGTGCGCGGATATCGTAGCCCAGCCAACTCTTGAAAGCGGGAGAAGAGTCGCACTCATGGTCCCGTGACACTTGGCCCATGTGAGTTTATTTCCAACATCACGCTTCATAACTAAGAAAGCTCTCTGGAGGTCGGCAACTGAAAATCTATTGTCCCATATCGTGCTGGCAAACCTGACAACTAGCAAGATGGTCGCGTCATATATCGGGTCGTAGAAATCGTCCGCCTGTGTGGAAAGCCAAGCTGCGATAGACACGCGTTGGCGCGCTCCCGCGAGCACAGCCGCAATGGATCTGAGTGAGTTGAGGGTAGCGTCGGTGATGCCACTCACTCCTGCTGCATGTGCGGCAGCTGGTAGCAGTCCTGTTCTCCACAATGTTCGGACTTTGTGGTTCGCCCCTCTCGCAAGGGCGCGAAGCTTGGGCTTCCTAGCCATCAGTCCAGCAAGTCTTTTCTTCTCAATCACTCGCTTGGCCTTGGGCCCAGACAGATCATGTCCGAGGTTACGCATGTGAGAATACATCTTCATCCTGAGTCGCTGGACGAAAGGTGTGATTACTTTCTTGGCAGCCGCATTTGTCGCAACACATCCACTCTTAGCCGCTTGGATGACCTGTCCCAACTCGAAAGCACTTTCCGTAAAGTACTTGACAGCCGCGAACAAAACCTTAGATTGTCTGGGGTCTTCTCCCGTCCATTGAAATCCCGCGTCGTCCATGAGCATGCGCGGCGCGACTGAGTCAAAGAGTTCCCTCATTCGAAGCAGAAGCTGATGCAGTAACAGGTGCGCCGTCGTGGTCGCGTGAGTACATCCAGCAAGAATGCCTTGAAAAGGTAAATATTCATCAGAAACCGACCCCACGCTCGTACCACCCGTGGGCACTGGTAGTAGGCTAATATTAGCCAAAGGAGTCGTAGTGGGTAGCCCAGCACGTAAGCGAAGTCGACTAGCTTCTGCAATTTGATCATCTCGAAACATTTGTACATGTCGATAAGCACCGTTACTGACGCGTGCCCTTTGTATAGTGCAACTTCTGCTAGCAGGTTGTGAGAAAACGCTGAATCCGATGATGCTGCAGCAAGCCTCGCGCCCCAGAAGTCAGAATTATGATTAGCACGCTCCGAGCTTCTCGAGACAGGTCTGCGGAGCCGGGCCCATATACGCACAATCGTATCAATTAAAACCACCAGTCGGTGCCCTCCTGATGCTTTGGGCAGTCTGGCCAGCAACATAGTCGCTCGCACGTCTGCAAGAGAAGTAGAAGTGTCTGAAGTCCGTAGTCTGATACAACATCCATCGCCTTGGGGTGGAGGTTGACCTGTCCAAGTGCTGAATTGAGCTTGAACTTGCGCAAGACTATGCGTAGGTCTGCTACGCTGACCTCTGGGAGCTGATGCCATGTCGAGAAATCAGGTTGCAACTACAAGCGCCTTGATGCGTGGGTGGCCCAAATCTCAGCCCAGGTATCCATACAAGGATCGGCCATTTCAAAAGGCTGTGGCTGCTGGGTGTGCTCCAGGACCTCCTGCAGGTCTCTGAGCTTAGAGAAACGGTGCGCCTGTCTCGCTCCATTGTTGAAGGATGCCTTTGCCCACTCCGTCCATTCTGTCGTTTTGAACGCTCCAATGGCCTGCACCGCTCTCTCCACTTTGTCAATGACGAACTGTGCAGTCTCAGGAAGATCATCACAGCAGAACTGGTGGGAGAGGTCACGGGCTCGAGCGCGCTCGTCGTCGTCGAGGTGCTGCATACTCCATTTAGCCTTAGACGCCCTATGGAAGGAACCCTGGAGGTCCCATGCCAACTTCGCCAATAGCTTGAGCTCTTTGTCATTAGCGGCCGTGTCGTCGGTCATGCTGAGCCCAACGTCATAGGCACCAAAGGTAGATAAGGAGCGTGCCCAGCTTGAATAATTATCAGTAGTGTGGTTGGCCGGCAGCATATGGCGTGGAAACTTACCTGGTACGTCAAAATCAGTCTGGAGCCTCTCCACAGCCAAGATCATCCGCAGCTGCATCGCTCTCATGTGCCGAAACCAACGCCCAATCAACTTGTAGGCCTGGAGCCTCTGAGATGGCTTGTGTTCAGGTGGAGCCACTTTCTTCCAAGACCAGGTTGCTGGGCCCGCCCTTCCAAGGCAACGTGCTCGGTCATGGCCCATTATATCATGCCTGTCCAGTAGCTCCTCTTCGATCTGCATCAAGACCGCGTCCCAGGCGTCAGCAAGGGTGGCGGCATCTTCGGCTGCAGCGATGAGCTCCGTGGCCATGTCCCACTCGACGACGGGCGGGAACCTCGCACATATTGGCTTTGGCACCGTGTCGACGGACGCAGGCTGGTCAGGCACTCGCACCCACATCTCATGTTCTGCATCCTGGAGCAGAACTCTGACAGGCACATGTGGAAACAAGTCCGAGCCTTCATGTATAAAAGCTTGCTCTGCCCGATCAGCAACCCGCGGATGCATGCACATGTAGTCGTACATGGTTCCAGGCTTCGCCTGCAGGCAGGTGGGGCAGTTGGGGTGGATGACAATACCCCCTATGGAGTTGAACCAGTGCCGCAGGTCGTCCACCTGCATGTTCCAGTCCCCCGCTAGCAGCCAAGGCTGCTCTCGGGCCTCCAGCTCGCATATATAGGCGGCGACCTGCCGAAGAATCTCCACGTTGGCGTCTGAGAGGACCTGGCCGTCGTGAAGGTAGATTGATAGCATGGCGATGCCGTGCTTGGCGCCCCAGTGGACGTGGGCCGCAAGGACCCTGCCAGGAACCAACTCGGCTGAAGACCTCCCTGGTGCAAGAGTCACACGGACCCTGGACGGTGCGAGGATGGCCATGCCTCCATGCGCTCCCCCCTTTGGCGGACGGAGGGGCTGGGGCCCAATGGCCTGCAAAACCTGCTCGAACTGCCTGACGTTGGACATCGGCGAGTCGCTCTTGGTCAGCATGGTGCTCTTGTACGCATATCACACATGACTGCGCCCACGTCAGCTTCAGCATCTCAATTAGCGGCCCATGCGATGACACGTTGGCCGCCACGATCGAGCTCACGGTTCTGGTGCATGACGAGCCAGGAATAAGCATGGCAACCGAGGCTTTCTCTGAAGTTGGCGGGCTCTGCAGTGCAGCACCTGCCACTGGTTGAACCTCCATGGCGCAGACCGCCGCCATGATGAGCCGCAAATACCTGCAGCTGGGGCCCCTGGCAGTCCTCTGACCTGGCCCGTCGTAGTAGTCCAAGGATGAGCTTGAGTAGCTCATCTGCCTAGGGCCCCTCGGAGGTCTGAGAGCTCTGTGGTTCTCAGGGCCCAGCTGACCAACATTCCTCACCGAGACATCGGCCCCAGGTCCCCTTTCGTCCGTCAACGTCCTACAGCTCTCGGGAGCAGGGTTAGCGCTGGCACTGGGGATGGCATGTGGCCTGCATCTGATAGTAGACCTCCCAGTTCTGTGGTACAGCTTGGCCATACTCCCAGCATACATTGCGAGCCAGCTGGTACCGAGGTACTCGAAGTAGACGTAGTTGCTGCCCATCGGCCGCATGATGTCCCCTGCCAACCCAGCAAGTGGCGACGTATGAACCCATCCCAGGCTCGAGGAGCACCTGGGCATGGGATTTGATCCAGCACGTGACGACTGAGCCTGCGATTGCCAAAGCTGGCCAGCAGGACTTTGCGCTCTGA